CTCTAAACCTGAGGTTGCTGGAAATCTCTGTTCTTACAGATGTTTATGAGTTTTCCTGGTACAGAGATAGAATCAATTTGCTTGTGCCTGGCCCTCAAGACGTATTAAATTTATCCTGAAGGAAACTGGTTTCTGAAAAGATCTTTGCCCAGATGCATTAGCCAGGTGGGAGTTTCAGTGAACCAGAGGGTCCACTAGCAGATGCAGCATTGATTTCTGAATGTTCACAATCGAGCAGACAGCTCCAGAGCAGACTTGATTTGATGGCTCTCTATGGGGTGCCCTGCAGACTCGATTATCTCCACCACCAGTCTGGCTAGCATTGTTTCATGGCGACAATGCTCTGTGCTTTGAGCTCCTGCTCAGATGGGCTGGGCAATGCGTGGACCAGGGAGAGAGACTGAACCAAATCCACGGCAGACCTCTGAGAGTTGCCCACTGCTTTCAGGGTTCAGAGGTGTGGCAGCCCCTGGAAATGGGGGACCATGCTGACTTTTGAAAACAGCATTCTAGGGGTCATTATGGAAATACATTCTGTTCAGGTGGGAATAAAGAATGGCGTGAGGGTCCTACTCCAAACAGGACTGGAGCTAGAATGCCTATAAGGAAAATCTTTGTCAACGTGCAAAACAAAAACAAAAACAACCCCCCCAAACCAAAACACCAAAACTAAAACCAAACAAACAAAGCCCTCCACCTGAATAAATTTTCTATTCTTGAGTTGTTTGCTTTAGAGTTCCAAGCCTGACAATCCACACGTTAAAGATTTCTCAAGCAAATGTCCAATATCCTTGAGGTAATTTCCTTTAAAGCAACCTGGACTGTGCTATTTAAGCATGCAGACTTCAGTAAAAGGCAGTCAGTATGTAATATGAAGTCGTAAAGTTCTTTCAAGTATATTAATGAGTGCACATGTACATCAGGGCAGGTCCACACAGCACACATACAGACCCCACGGCCCCAGCATCACAGCCTACACTCACTTTTTTCCCACTGGCATCTTAAAAACACATCTAGCCATGCACTCACAAAACCACAGAACAGATTCATTATATATTCCTAAGAGTGCAAAAATTCATCATGGCACAGAATTTTAAAGGAAATAAGGTCGAGAAACATTTTTGAAGGAAGGTGACTGAATTTTTTTTTCACTCACATGCAGCGGGAGCCCCACTGAGTCAACAGCCTGCACCATGCATGGCCCAGGACCACCCCGAGAACAGCAGGTTCTCCTGCGTGATCACTGCCTCCCCCGTGGAGCGGCTAAGCCACAGAGCCCTGGTGTTGGCAGCTGGTATTTTGGGATTTCTTGGACAGATTAGAGAATTTTGCTATGGGAAAGCTGCATTTCCTTCCAAAGTTGATCTTCAACCTAAGAACAAGACTACAAGAAGAAAAAAGAAATCCCTGAGAAATCCAGTTTTCAGGCTGGTACTATCACCATGTTTCCAGATCTGGGACTTCTTATTGTCTTCCAGAGAAAGCCCTTCTCTCCACAGAGCCTGGCCAATAACGTGACAACCAGTGGCAAAAAGTAACTCTGTCAAGTGGAAACTCATAGGATGTAATTTTGGCCCTTAAAAAAATTAAAGCTGGACTTCTCCCGTGAGAGGCAGCCAAGCACAAAGAAAGTCTTAAGGACATGACATTTAAGCGCCCCCCCTCCTGCCTTTGAGTGGCACCGCTAAGGTTAAAGACCAAATGATGATGCCATCTTGCCCCAAGAAAGTTACAATCTATCATAAAACCAAAAAGAGTTAATTGTGGAAAGCTCCACTCAACTCTGGAGTGAAATGCAGCAGTGGAAACTCATGTGTTACTTTTTCTCTAAGAGTTTATGGATCTCAGAACAATTTGGTAATAATTACTTTGGACTAAATATGTTTAAAACTCTGTTGTTCATCATTCTGGTTTATTAGCAAATTTAAAAATGAAGTAGAAAAAAGCGTGCATGTATATATACTTATATATATACACACACATATAATAACGTATCAATAAATAGAGTTTATCTATTATGCAAACAAAGTAGCTGAATATGAATTTTCAGAAATTTGTAGTATGACCAGAAAAATGAACCAAGTTTCATAGCTTTATCTGAGGGGTTAATGTTTTCCAGTATCTTGTGCTTGTTCACTGAAGGTATTTTTTTTAATTTCATAATTATCTAAATAGAAGAAATCACACCCCTCAAAAAAGTTATATTTTCTGTCAAATATTCACTGTCATTGTCTAAAGTAGAATAACATTTTTTAAAAGCTGAAAAATAAAAGCCAAATTGAAGCATTAATTGAGCTACAATAGTCAGGAAACTGCAGAAATACAGCTAAAGTCTTATAATTTCTAGTTAGGTTCCACCTTAAAAACAGATAAAATAATTAGGTCAGTTAAAATGAATACTTTGCCTTTTAAGGAGAACAGGAATTATTAAGAGACAGTAGAAGTATTTATCAGTGACTTCCCCCGGATAGATGTCAATTTCACAAAATATTAAAACACCTATGTTGCAGTGCTATAGTCCCAGAATTATATAAGAAACCGTGTTACTCATGACAATAGAAAATTAGGGTTCCAGTAGCTTTATTCTTACTTCTCAACTCAGGAAACTGATTTGCAAACTGATCTCCATTTTTCTGAAAAGAACAGAAAACGTCAAAGTTTGGGCTCGTTTTCCTATCTCCAGTCTGCAGATGCTACAGACTTCAGTTCGGTTATCACAACCTCCAGTAAGTTGTTGGTTAAATCAACTAAAATCTTCTTCCAGCTAGGAAAAATATATACTAGTCAAAACTAATTACGCCTGGGCTTTCACTGCTACGACGTTTGCTAATTTTGCTGGTCTCGGTACACTATTCCAGAAAATATTCATTAAACACGTTGAATAATGGCTGCTGTAAATTTCTGAAAACAATAATCTCTAAACAGTTAATTTGCATTTCAGACTTATGCTCGGAAAGATGGGAGCAGCAGCTACCCCAAGCCAACAGCACATAACTATTCTTTTGTTACTGACCATAAGGAGTTGAACTTTGCTCCACTTTGGAAAAGCAGAGCCCCAGCTCTGCAAACCACAGGAGAACAGGACATATTTACCTGGGGGGGAGGGTGTCACAGACAAACCTGAAGAACTGCAAAACAAAGTAGTCCGGATGGATCATCTGTGCCCGTAATCCCACATGGCACCATCAGCTCAAGCCAGTCTCTGACAACCGGTTCTCCCACGGCAGCCACCCCTGCCTTCCATCTTAAGGACTCACCCAGAAAAATCCTCCAGCCTGCTCCACGACTACCAAACTCTTCTAATGCTTTTGAATGCCCACCATTTGTTCTCCATTCATCCAATCAACTTTCCACTGCACATCTCTCCTTTCTATCGGCGCGCAGACCCGGGGCCACTTCTCATCTGTATGCTAATTATTTTGCCACATGGACAAAAGTAATAATGCTTTCAGACAGGAAACTAACAGGCCTGAAGTTGGAGATGGAAATTAATAAGTTGACACCACTAAACGACGGGGAGACGGGCATGCTGCAGCGCCCTGCCTGGTCGGTAGCACGCAGACTCCTTCCAAAGGCAGCGCACAGGCGGCCCTGGGCTGCCAATCCTGCCCCGGCTGTGGGAACTGAGCTCTGCTTCCCTTAGAGACCACATCACTGCAGCAGAATAACACTGGAGCACAGTGCTGACTTACCCTGGCTCGGGCTGCATCCGCTAAACGACACAAAACATATCCATTTCCCCAGACCCTAACATGGGAGGGAACTTCACTGCTGATCTAGGGCTTTTTTTTTTTTTTTTTCCTAAGCTACAGCTGGGGACGAAAGCAGCAATTTCTAACCTTCCTGTTTATTGAGCTTGCAATACAGTCAGACCAAATTGGGATGAATGCTATAGGCTTCTTACATTGTACCCACAGGCCCCTAAATCTCTAGAGCAGAATGTGTATCATGTGTGGTGCTGTATTTAATGTAATAGATGAGAACTGTAAATACCAGAGTCAGGCTGTTCACGCTACCACCGAGGTAATACATCTAAAAATATCTCCCCTATCACTGATGTTATTGTAAATTCATGCTGCGGCCAGAGAAACCTCACAAAAGTCAGCTGAACCTCCAGGGTTTTAAATGCTATTCCTGCTTAACATGGGAACAAAACACAAAGAGGTGCCCAGACCTCCTCCCACAACGCCTGAAGAGGATGGCGGATGGAGACTCAAGAGTTAACTTTAAGTGATTCTTAAAAATCTCTTTCGGCTTGCCAGCCACACCACATTATTCTGTCTTAGTAGGAGCTCCTTTCCCAGTTTCTTAAAAAACGAGAGACAGAACTGTTGCCCCAAGAAAGTTGCACAATCAACCCTCTTAGTATTGTTTGGAGGAAAAAGAAAATCAGAAAAAGTTTATTCTGCAAAGACAAGACCCAGTAAGGATTCAAAAATACAAAAGAGAGTGGAGATGGATGATTTCCATTAGCATCTTTCCTTTTTTTTTTAAGTGCTGATTTTATAAATGGCCTCAGAGTCCAGCAATACACATTCCACTCTGGTGGTAACTCCACCATCACGCACGGCAAGCCTCCCTCCTGTAAGGCTCAGGGCTCCAAGGCTGCCGTTAAATCATAAAGGCCACCTTAGCACCTCCCCCTCCCCTGGAAGCTTGCTGTGAATGCACACACTCCTGTTTAACAACAACTCCAGCACCATGCAGACAAGAGGCCCATGGAGGTGGACAGAGGGGCAACTCCGGCAACAAACTGGGCCATTGTTGCTGTTTGTGAACCAGACCACGAGATGCTAAGAAGTGCTATAATGGGCAATCAGACAAGAGCCGGAGATGGCCAGGCAGGTGGACAAACAGCTTTCCGTTGAAGTACTTAAGAGCATATCTGAAATAATTCTCAAAGTCTAGGAGCTGCACCAAGCAGGCAAATAAAAAAATAAAAAAAAAAAAAAGAAAAAGAAAAACCCACATGTCACCTTGAAATGAAAGGAAAGAGGTACCTTTTTGTGCAAGAGCTGGTAGCCATGGAGCTCAGGGCTTCTCTGCAGTCTGTTCCTCACTCACGCAGCTCTGCCTGCCATGGGGAGCTCACTGCACGTGCTGGTTGCAGCTCCCCCTGGGCTTCCATCCTGTGCACCCCACCCGTCAGGACCCTCTCTCCCTGCCAGCTCTGTTTCCACAGTGAGAGTTGAAGGCAGAGACACGCAAGAGACCCACACGGTACACAGTACTAACTGTGGCTTCCTCGGGGAGACTGACACGGAAGTCCCGAGTTACCAAAGAACACCTCTTACAGCTACCGAAGGTAATTCCTCTGAAGCTACAGTGTGCCTGGCTCCTGGAGACCAGACTCACTGGTTCCTACAGAGGGTCCGGCTCCCTTTTCAGCCAGCCCTGCCGGGAACCACCGCAGTGTGTGAACAAGAAGGCTTTCCAGGGAATATCCGAGCCATTCCATCTCCACAGTACAATACCCCCCACACTTCCCCTGGATATGCCCTCCCCCTCCCAACTTTCCTGATAATCCCCACACAGGGAGCAGGGATTCTTTAAGAGAGATACATTGTAGGACATTTTTCTTAACCCAGAAGTCTCACACAGCAAGGTTGATCAGTGATTTTTCATACAATAAATAAGCGTTGGTCCCTTTTTTCAGTTTTATAACACCTGGTTTACATTTTCTTTGCTATCTCTGATACTTCTGTGGATACCCAAAGGACTCATTAGGACGTCAATGCCAAAAACAGTTTCATTGTGGAGACACGCATACAAAAATCACTGTGTGTGCTTGAACAATGCAGATGTGAAGGAGGAATGGAGAGGAGAGGACAGAGAGAGAGAGGCAGACAGACAAACAGGGACAGAGTTAAAGAGAGAAGGGACAGAAGACAGGGAGTGGGAGGTGGAGAGAGAGAGAGAGAGAGAGAGAGAGAGAGAGAGAGAGAGAGAGCGAGCAAACACAAAGATATTCCAAACTGAGCCACATTGTCCTGAAACATACATAGCCTATTGATGGAAAAGTGCACAGCTCTCAAAATAATCTGATAGCAGAAAAATCATACAATCAATAACTAAGAAAGTGGAGTATTTGATATTACTCCTTATACAAAGTATGGTCACCAGAAGCAGTTTTTTAAAATATGTGAATTACAATAACTTAAAATGTCTTTTATTCGTACAAGCCACCTGACTTGTACATGACTTCTCCTCCCATAAAAAATCTATACTATAAATTTTTTTTAAGCTTGTAGTATTTTTTGACATTAGTTTGGAATAATTGTAGATCAGTGTCAGGTATAGTATTGTAGAACAGAATACAGTAGGGTGACACTTAGCTTGGTGAAACGCCTGTTAATCATTTTTGAATTTTTGTTCAAGTTTATCTTCTGTGACTCTTTTCTAAGGAACATTTAAAAGATTTTTAAAAGAAAAAGAGACATTCATGCCAAGTGCTCTTAAAAAAAAAACCTTGACTATAAGAGCATGTGAAGTGCCATAGGAATCAAGGCAAGCTGTGGAGTAATTTGGCAGAAAAAAATCCAGCACCCCTGAAGTTCCCTCTCTCGGAAACTGCTACTCATCTGCTCCCTGGACAGAGTTCTAGGGAGGCTGGCCATCAAGGTAGACTTCCTGGCAAAGTACTAGATGCATTTGAAAAAATGGTTATTGATTAGAAATTGCAGACTTGGACTAAAGGGGGCACCCAGCTGAGCTCAATTCCAACTCCAACCAAAAAAGCACTTTAGTATTCCCTCTTATTCCACAGAGTAGATTTTCTTATGCAAAAAGACTCCAGAGTATGGAAAAGTTCAGGCTGTTTGAAGTTAAACATGGAGCCACCAAATTGCAGGATATGTAAACAAAAGTACTGTAGAGGACACTGTATTTTTAAAACAATATCTCTTCTCCAAATTAGATTGGCTTACAGATTTGCAATATCTAGCTCAGGCTTGTGACATTAAAATATTTTTCTCCACAAACTCATTTTTTCATAAAGTAATTAGCTTTTAAAAATCACACACATCAAGTATGCCTAAAGCCAGGTGAACAAATAATCAGATTATCAATTCAACAATTTTGAATGTAAGCATAATTTTAACAAATAGAAAAACTTTTAAAAACCTTTGGAGTTGCAAAAAACTTCTTTTTTTCCTCCCCTAACTATTGAAAGTTGACAAAGAAAACAGAAATCATCAGACAGTGAAATCACTGGTTTAGGAATAAACAAAAGAGTAAAGTATTTTTCTAAAGAGTAAAAATAAATATAGTAGGTGTACAAGACAGCAGGCATAATGAGACAATACATTAAAGAATACTTTCTCTAAAATTATCCACATATCTAAAAAATCCAGCTTATATAGCTTTTATTACCCCAAAGAAGACTGTGCACTTATATCCCTTTAAGAAGTTTGTATCACACACATGCATACTCATGAACAATTAGGCCTTCAACCTCTAACCCAGCTTTAGCATAAATTTATGAAACTGGCATAAGTTACGGCCCCAGATGCGAGGTTTTGCACAAGAGAAGTTGACATTTAGGTGTCCTGCTCGCTCCCTGCTTTATTGCAACACCAGCTAAGCCTTGTCATCTTTCCAAAAGTGAAACTGTAATAGAACTCACTGATATTTAGATAAGCACTCTCTATTTGAAAAGTGGTAGTGTTTACAGTTACTCACAATTATGCATATGCAAGTGAGTCTCCTGGATTTATAGATACTTGGTAAATTTTTGAACCTAGGGTAAAATGTGTATGTAATGGTAGCCGGAAGGTCTTTACAAAATAAAAATCTTCCAGCAGGGAGATCTTTGCTGCCACAATCTTCAAAACACCCAATTGTGACCGTAAAGGCTGCTCCTACTTCTACCTCAATGAGCAACATCATTAGGGTGATGAAAGCGAGCTATTTTCACATTGCCAGTAAACCTGTAGGAAGCCAGCCCCCCTGCTCAATGCAATTGCTATCAGCCGCGGACAGCTCCCGGTGCTGAAAGGGAGGCAGAAAGACCCCGCTCACAATGGCTCACTCCACCAGCTTTGAAAAAATCACAGCAAAACTGAATGAGGTGGCAAGTGCTCGGGCTGAATAGCACTGTCTGCTGAACAATAGCAGCCAGCTCCAAATCCTACTATAATCACATTAATGAGATTAATCAGTGAATTAGCAGCAGTCAAATGTCAGGGAGGCACGGAAAAATCCAACCAAGATTGGTAATTAACTTTTTTTGGGGGGGGGAGGTGCAAATGTGGAAAGGAAGAGAGGATCAACCGTGCTACCTCTTAGGTTTTCTAGAAGTTGGCAATTCTGATTCACAAATCTGGAAGGTACAGATGAAAAATAATGACATAATCTTTTCTATTGTAATGCATGTCCAGGTATCACATTACTGTTGCTTGAATTATTGTCCTCTGAGAAAACTGATGTCACTTTAAATAATCTTCACAAACTGTCCACATTTTATGGTCTTAAACTTTCTGAAGCATGCAATTAGTATTTACAATGAATGTATTTCTCTGCAAGTCAAGCTAAAATATAAAAAAATGGCTGATTAAAAAGAGAAAAGATTATATAACAGCTGTCACTGCCTCAGAGAGGTCTGTGACGGTAGGGCAAGAGTTTTTTTTAAAAGTGCTATTGAGTGCTGTGCTATCATATAAATATATCAGCAGGCTTCTCTTGTATGGAATAAAGAAAATTCAACATTAAAGTACAACTTCAAGGAGACTTTTAACCAATTGACTTACTGCACAAGAAGCGATTGGATCATATGTATTCCTGCAGGTCAGTTGGGGAAAAAAAAACACACACACAAACTTCCTTTATCTGAGATGTGTCATTTAGTAGCATTTATAATGTACAATCAGCATTTTAAGCTCTAAGTTTTTGAGAGGGGAAAACTTATAGGAATGCAGTGGGATTGTTTTCAGGACGATTGTGCCAAAACACTTTTGTCTGAACAATGATCATATTTTATCTATATGTAAGGCATGCCTTTACTACTTGTATGAAAAACTTCATCACTTTTACGGAGTCAAGCAATTAAAAAGACTCTCTCCTGTCTGCAAGGAGAGTGCTGGGATGCTTTTTTCTGTAATGTTAATTTTGTTCAGTAAAAAAATATAAACACTTGCACAGAAGAGCTCTCATGGAAAATATTTTTGCAATAATTAAGTGAATAACAAAATGTCTAACTCACAGAGTTTGAGTGGTAGAGAAAGTGTCATGAATAAATTAATGGCAAATTCACAATCTGTAGTGTATATTTTGTATACCTAACTCTCAGGAGTATCCCTAGAGCCTTATCTTGATCTGTCTTGAAACTAAAAAGTATGCAGCTTAAACTTTTAGTTTATTAATTTAAGTGGCATTAAGACATACTTCTGTTATATATATATATATATATATATATATATATATAATGCTATTTCTTTATTATGAACTTCAAACATAGAGGTTACTGTTTAAAATCTTTATTTGAGTTTCTCATTTTAAACAATATAAATCAAGATGCTTCTTAAAATTAGACAAATATAACAGTACATCAAGAATATCTAACATTTTAAGAGCCTGTGTATAAAATTATCTACTTCGTCTGTAATGTAAAGTAATCCAATAAAGTCTCTGGGAAGTTTTGTTTCAGTAGTCTCGTGTCACCCCAGTACTATGCATGCAGTAAGTTTTGTTGTGTTTTCATAAACAACATTACAGTTAAGGCATGCAATCTAATATCCATTTTGCTTTAAAGACAGACTTCTGTGAATACAAGACCTCTAACTCAGGAACCTTTCAGCTACCAGCCACACTATAAAAATAACTTTAAAAAGGAGCAAACAATAGGATTGCAGCACAAGCCCTTGAACTACGGCTAAAACAGATTCTGTCCACTAAGTCCAAAGAATTAACCTAAGGAGTATCACGTACCTCACACCATGACCACACGGCTCACAAGTGACAGCAAGTTCAATTTTGGTAACTGTGCTGGCTCAAAACACACAGAGAGAGGCGAGAACCCTGCTCCCCACAAGTTGGAGAGGATGATGAGAAATAGCAAACCACCGAGAGGCAGAAAAGGCTGCTTTGTCTTCAGTGAATATTGATATCATAACCCATAGTCCAGGGAATAAAAAAAATTGAAATGCACCCACCAACAACGGGTAAAAAACCAGGGGCTTCACCAGGGCTTCAGGGAAAAGCTCTCTCGCTCTGTTTAGTGTGCGGTAGCTTAGGGAAAAAAAAATGTCGCCTGGGTAAGAATGACAAATGCAGTACGATAGGCTCGCGGGCCTAAGGGATCTGTTTTACTTCCACATCCATCCCCTAATGCACGCAGTCCCACTCATCCTCTCCTAGGCTTTTTTTTTTCCACTTTTTTTTTTCCCACAAGCTCCAAATCCCCGGCATATGACCTTCTGTTAAATAGATAAAAAAAAAATTGCTTATCAGTCATGCAAATGAGGCTGAATTCATTTTCCACAACAGATGGCCTCATAGATAATGATGATGGAAGAGAGAAAATTGAATGTCTCTCACAAGGTGGCCATGGCAACCGAGAGCAGAATAATATCAATAATAAGCTCACTGCATAATAAGGTTGTCAGTCCTACAAATCAAAGTCTCCAGCTAAATCAGGTACACCACCCCAGCTAGTTACCAGGTAAATAATATATAGATATAATATGTGTCTTTGCGGTGACCGTGAATGAGCCGGAATTCCAAGCCACACCGCGGGAGTGGGGGGTCGGTGGGGGTGGGGGTGGGGTGGGCGGATAATAAAATGACAGTGTTCTCTCTCTCTCTCTCTCTCTCTCTCTGTCTCTCTGTCTCCCCCCCCTCCCTCTTTCCCTGTCTCCCTTTCCCTTTATTACATTTTCCATCCTAGCCCGGGTCTCAGGAAGGCTCTTGTAACTAGCCATATTGAAACTGGGGATGTGGCTGCGGGTGGAAGTCTTTTCTCCTTCCGCCCGCCGCCTCCTCCTCCTCCTCTCCCTCTCTGATGTGGTGAGCTGCATGGATGCAGAGCTGCTCGCCCGAGGCTCCACCTTGGCTCCCAGGGGGACATCCTGCGAAATGAATCAGCAGCCATCCTGAGCAGGCTGATTAAAATTAAAATGGCAAGGCACATGTCTGGGCGGAACAGGAGCCCAGCTCTGCTGCCTGTCTGGCAAGCATGCTCAATATAGCTCTTGCTAATAATGGCTTACTGCCTTGCGTTTTTTAAAAAGGTATCACCCCTTTCCCCTGTACCGACTGGCATTGTAGTATATATGTGTGTGTGCATGTGTGTGTGTGTGCGTGCGTGTGTGTGTGTGTGTGTGTGTGTGTGTGTGTGTGTGTGTGTGTGCTACATGGCAGAGAGGGTGGGGGCGGGTGGGAACGGACCGTTCTATTCTTCTAATTTTCCCGGTGCACACGCAGACAGCACCATTATTTTAAAACTGCACTTACTTCTGTCTTCTTCTCTTTCTTTGCAGCAGGAACAGCGGTTGATAAGCCCTGAGGTCGAGGTTGCCTGAGAACCGAGACAACATCTTTACACCCCAGATACCATCATTTCTAGCCCGATTCCAGGCAGCAGACCTGGCTGGTGAGGGCTGTGCTGCTACATTTCACGGCTCACAGTTGGACAAGCTGAAATGCAGCTGGGGTAGAACCTATTTCTGCTCCAAGCACTTGCAAACAGCCCTTCGCTGTATCCCAGATATTATGCAATACAGAATTAAAATGGAAAAAAATGAAGCCTACTGATATCATAATCCAACAAAATTTATTAAACATAAATCTTACATTTTTTTCAAAATTCTCAAGCATGGTTTTCATATTAGCTTCCAATAAATTAATACATTTCAGTATCTATGCCACATTTACAGGGTTTTAAATCTATTTTTAGGGCACCTTGGAAATTGGACCGTTATTTCTTGTCATAAATGAAATAGGTTGAAAATAAAAAGCAGGATTTCTTTCAACCAATTATACTCTTTTCTATACATTTTAGTCCAAACTAGAAATAATTTTTAAGTTTTTCTTTCAAACCCTCTTCTTTTGGCTTCCTTTGGGTAACAGATGCATGGGGCTATTATCTATCTATCTGCTCATTTTTGTCTTTTGTGATTCCTGCTTCTGAGATATGTTTTCTCCTGCACTCTATCCCTGTTGCTGCAGTGTGAATCAGAAATCAATAGAGCTCCCCTAATAGAGGCTCCACGGGGCACACAGCAAAGCAGCTGCAGTCTGTCTCTCTCTCTCTCTCTCTCTCTCTCTCTCTCTCACACACACACACACACACACACACACACACACACACACACACACACGGCTAATGACGTCTGTGCAGCATTTTCAGCTGATTGGGTACCACATCGGATGTTCTGTGAAGCAAAGAATAGGAATCACTTACAGTCCCTGGAAAAAAATGGGAGCATGTACCCTCCTGTGTGCACAACACCGGCCCTGAGCTCCTCGAACAGCCACCCTGGGGAGGGATGGTCCTCAGGGCTGTGTGGTCGTGACAGAGTAAAGGAGCACGCCAAAAGCCATCATAGGCTAGGGCAGCAGTACAATGGGGATGTATTTTCCATTTCGTGAAGGACAAAGCATCTTTCTGAGATCCTAAGGGTTCCAATAGGTATCATACCTTTCAGATATCTTCAAATATACTTTAAAAATACAAAGGACAAACTGAAAAGGGCACACTCACACAGACACATGTATGTGCCATCCCCTGTGAGTGTGTCTTAGTCGTATCCTAATATATTTAGGTTAAAGTTAAAATTTTCCCCTCAAATCTTGTCTTATACTAAGAAATCTCTAAATAATAAGCCATATGCGTTGAATCATAGATTTATAGATGTATGTTTTATACACATACATGCATGTCTATGAAAACACAATCAGATACAGGCAACTGAATTTACACACGTGTATTTGTGTGTGTGTGTGTGTGCAGTGTTGGTTCACAGCTCTGGTCACCGGAAGCTGTGAGTGTGTCTCTCCAGTGTGACAGGCTGCTGCATTGGTGAGCACAGCCTCTCGTGTTTGTGTTTTGCCCTTAAGATAAGGTGTCCCTGGATTCCACTGCAGGAAGCCACCTCCTTCCTCACCGCCCTCCACCCCGCATTTCCTTTAACCTCATCTAATAGACAACAACTGCCTGGGTCTGAATCTGGCTCCAGCGAAGCATTTGTATCCCTCCCACCTGTCTTCTGCATGACTTTTAGAGCCGGAGATGCCAGCACTCAGATGGCTTAAGAGAAGGAGGGAAAATGAATGAATCATGAAGCCACAGAGCAACAGCAAGCGACATCTCTGTCTGCATTTAGCAGCTATGTATTGTAGCTGCACTTGATAAATCATGATTTCTTAAAAAATTACATCAAGTCTTCTGCAGTAAGGTACAGTACAACCCTTCAGGATGCATGAGGTAGAGGGGATACTTGGAAACCATTTAGATTAAAATCATTGCATACTTTGCAATTAAACCATACAATGAAATGATTCGCATCCAAATATAAATCAAATTTCCCTTATGTTATTATGAATGTACTCCCTGACTCACTTAGTGGTCTACTCCACAATCCAAGCCCTTCGGGATTAAGAAGGGCATATTCAATCTCCTTTGATTTTATTTATGTGAGATAAAAGAAATTTGAATATCTAGTTCCTTTTCATGAGTATGCCCTCTAATTTAAAACAAACAAATTCCTAATGTTTGTGTCTCAAAGTATAAAACATCCAAGTTACACCCTGGGCTGTGTTTCTGTCTGCATGGTGTGCACAGCAAACAATGAGTCCAGCTCTTGAAGCACAGGAAGGAGAATGTCTTCCCCTCTCTGTTCTCTGGAATTCTCTTCCACCTCTCACCACAGTTCACCCCCAGATGAGGTCACAGGAAGTAGACTTCGCTGTAGAAAATGATGATTTATCTGATTTTGCCAGCGGAGGCTCATGACCTGTTTACTTTTCTTAGAACTATGCTTGCATCAGTCAAACCTACTGGCAAACTTACACCAGTAAATATTGTGGCCTCCTTAGAGCTGATAGTAGAAAACAGTTAAAATCTGGGGTCCAGGTTAACTATACATCTGGCTAAAGAACTGGAAATGTAGCTCCATGTGAAGGCCCTGAGTTCATTTCCCAGTATCAAAAATAAAATGAGTTAGGGGATAAAGATGGGCAATCCATGTTGACCACAAGGAGATAGCATCAGTGAGTGAAAGCATATTTACAGTATGCTATTACAGTAGCTAGCAGCAAATGGTAAGAGGAATAAGTTGAAGGTGGTCAGCTTTCTAAATAGAGTGATGAGGAAGAAACTTGGGAGGCAGAGGATAAGATGGAGTTGACGTGTCAAGCCTGAACAGATTTGCACGTGTACCGACAACTGCTAGATCAGGTGGTGTGGGTGGTGTGGAGCCCTCTTCAAGCTCCCGTGTTACTCCCATACCCACCTTGCACAGGATAACCAAAGTGGGGGTCTGGAGAAACAACCTCAAAAGCATCCATATTCCTTGGCCTGATTTTATAAAATGAGAACCAGTCATTTTGTGGGTGATATACACAGATATAAATTACCTCAAAGACAATTTTGAGATCTAAAAGAACATAGTTAATTTAAGCTTAACTTAAATTATTATAACCAGAAAACTAAGATAATCTATAAAAAGTATTTATCCCACTTCCAAGTCTATAATTTTAAGAACGTTATCTGCAATTTTGTAAAAACAAGTACTTCTCAATTTATCCCTGGTAGTCCAATGAATTCACAAATACTCAAATCTTCTGACAAGAGTCTCCAAACTATGTCTACAATCCTGCTCCACAACCTCTGAATTATTTTGCATTCGAGGGTCTTTATATCACATTTTCTCTCTTTGTAACCGCTTGATATTGCCACACTTATTCCAGTTACTTGATGAAAAACATCAATGCTTTTTAGCTCAAGAGTACATGAGGATAGTTCAAGTACAAACCAGGTCATTAATAAGAGCATTTTGATTGATTTTCCAGCTAGCTTATGGGTGTCATCAATAAATAAGAAAAAAGAAGAATGAAGAAGGAAAAGAAAGAAAATACATATTCTATATCACTGACCTTATTTGCTATTTTATTTTTGTACACTGTCCTCAAACTAGAAGCTCCTATCAAACACATCTAGAAGTTTAATTCCAAAAATTGTTAGGAAAGCATAATCTAGAGTCTCTAGAAAAAAACACAGAAGTAGAATAGAAGTAATCAAGGTGGAAGACTGCACACTTCTTACTCACTCTACAGCACACATTCTTATCTTTTCCAAATTTGCGATGTTTGGATCATTTTTCTTTTTTCCAGAGACACCCCTTCTTTGAGCCTTGCTATGAGTAGGAAATTTCCTTCCCTGTAGATTATGAGATGGATTTCTATTTATTTTTCCAACATTGCCTTCAGCAGAGACCTAGGCATATGGCTTCAATCCACCATTACAACATGCTCATCCTAGATTTTGGATTGCAAGTTGGTCCCAGGATCCATAGCTTTCAATGAGCCACTACTGCAGTGGAGGCAGGGTAGTAAAACTGGTGTTTGGAGGGAGAAAGGCAGTGCCCAGTGCTGATATTATAGAGGTGCCCCTCTGTATGCTTTTAGGCATTGTTACTAATGAGCTGAACTCTCAGTCTCTGTCACCCATCCTGCCCATTCTGTTGTAAGTCAGCCAGTATATTTATTTGCATTATTTGTCAGTACTAGACCAGATACCTGACATCCACAAGTTAGAGAGGGAGTGGTTTAATTTGGCTCATGATTTTAGATGATTCAGCCCAGCTTGTTCCAAGGCAGGAGCATCATGGTGGAAGCACACGTGAGAGAAAAATCCACTCACTTCATGGAGGGCGGGAAGCAGAAGAGGGGGACATCATCAGAGAGGGATCGGGAGTCAGATACAGAGCCCAAGGCTCTGCTTCCATGACCCATTCAGACTCGCCCAGAAATGTGCTTCATTAATCCCCAGTAGTTCTCAAGTCAGTCAAATTCAAAGCTCATCTTACTGTCATATTCCACTCCGTATCAACTTGACACCTGAAACAATCCTTTATCTCCAAATAAACACAAGGTCTCCATCCTAACACATTATAACTATGCTGCACACAACTCAAAATGCACTAAAGCCTCCCCTAAAGTTTTAAAAGTTCCAGCTCAAAACTCTAAGTCCAAAGTTTCTTCTATGACTCAAGGAAAACTCTTAGGTGAAAATCCTTGCAGAATTCAAAAACAAGTTACATATTCTCAACATATAGTGGTAGAGGGTGAATATTTCCATTCCAAAAGGGAGACACCAGAGATTAGAAAAGGACCAAAGCAAGAAGAAAAAGCAACCAAACTTAAGTCCTATAGCTCCATATCTGGCATCTAGGACACATGTGGTAAAATATGAATTTAACAGGGCTTGGACAGCTCCACCCCATGGCTTTTCCAGCTGTAGGCCACATGATCTTCTTCTTGGACTGGCTGTTCACAGCCTGCAGCTTTTCTAGACAGGCATTAACATTGAATCCCCAACTTCCTGGGATCTCCACTGTACCTTTGGCTTTATTCTTAAAGCTTCACAATACTCCTCTGACAGGCACACTCCTCAGCCTTTATTTAAAATCCAGTCAAAGTCACCACAACTCCACAGCTTTTGAATTCTGAATGCCTGAAAAATTTGCATCACTTGGACTATGTCAAGAACTGCCACCAGCTCAAACATTAGCGGTGTCTCCTTTGACTATGTCCTTGAGTGCCTAGATAGCTGAGTATGGTAAAATTAATCCCAGGGAACCTTTAGTTACTGCCTTAGTTACTTAGGCAGCCATTCTTTAATATATAGCCAAGGCACTCTTCTCAAATAAATAGTTTATACTTTTGCACCTTGAACCCAGGACAAGTGGGGTCTCACTGATTCCTGAGATATTTTAAGGCATTTTTCTTGTCTTGGTTCAAAGTACTTGGTGTCT